AAAAAGGTGTGACAGAAGTCACACCTATATAGTGTATTCGGCGCCACTGCATCTACAGTGACGGCCAGGGCTGTATTTAGACATTTTACGCCCTGGGCAACACATGAGCCATCCTTTCATAAGTCATAACATCCCCCTCCCCCCAAATATATATATATTATACTATTAATATTAATATTAAAAAAATATGTACTCACCTGTATTATATATAGTTATAAAACAAATTTAAATATACCTATATGTGAACATATACATAATGTAACATAATACCAGTATGTCAGTACACATTTGCTGCCCCCCTAATGATTAAAAAATTTGCCGCCCGGGGCAACAAGGAACACTTGCCTCCCCCAAATACAGGCCTGGTGACTGCTTGACAAAAAAAAAAAAATTAAATTATAAATTTTACAAACGCAAATCATTATGAAGATGAAACAAAACAACATTGTAACGCATTTAAATGTAATAATTATAATGATATTTTATATTTATTGAAAAGAATAAGTTATCTAATATAAATAAATGTGTAAATATATTTGTGTTGTAAATGTGATTGTGATTTTAATGGCGTACACATAACTTTTGTATTGGTGGGGAGGGTCAGTTGCAAAAAATTATTATGGAAGAATAATTCCTAAACCTAAGTACCTGCACATTTAAATAATAAATAATATAAGATATACAGTCGACTCTCGATAATTCGAAATTGACGGGACTGCTAAAAAACTTCGAATTACCGAGAGTTCGAATTGTTGAGTAGTTCGAAATAACGAGAGGGCAAAAAAAAAATTCGAATTATAGAGAGTTAAGAAAAAATTTTTTTTTTATTATTGTACATACATACATACATATTAATTATTTCAGTAAAGTAGGTGATACGGCATATATATTAGAGTTATTTATTGTTAATATTAACATTTTTAATTATTTATTATTATTATAAAAGATTATTATTTTTTAAAGAAATCTGTTATGGTTTTCTGCTTCATTGAATTTAGTTTAATTTTTTCAATAGTATTTTCTATAGTAAATAAAGCATCAAAAACCTCAACAGTGACTTCTGACTGGAGCGAGAAATTTCGTAATTTTTCCAAGGATAAACTGGCTTCTTTTAAAGTCACAAGAGGTAGAGGACTTGTGTCATCTTCATTGTCTTCATCAATGCTTAATGTATTTTCCAAAATTTCGGCATCAGAGAAGACTCCCCATACAGCAACATCTTCATCTACATTGACATAATCAGTGAAAGATACATTTTCTTGAGTTGGCAGGGAATTCCATTGTATCGATTCAATATTTAACTGGTCGTTTTCTGTTTCTTGAATTTTTTTGGTAAATCCCGATTTTTTAAAACACTTGAGTATCGTAGAAGGAGCCACTTTTTTCCATGCCTTATCAATAAATATCATAGCAGTCAATACACTAATGTTTGGCGTTTGTTCACTTTCAATGCATTCCAAAACATTCTTTACAACTTCTTGACGGTAAAAAGTTTTACAATTCTTAATTATACCTTGGTCGAGTGGTTGCAACTTCGATGTGGTGTTAGGAGGAAAAAATTGAAGTTCTATATTAGTTAAAGGTGGGGGGTTATTATGAACTGTACAGTTGTCTAAAAACAGTAGAATTTTTCATTCCTGTTTTTTCATGTCTTCATTGAGTGAAAACAACCATTCATTAAATAATTCTGTCGTCATCCATGCCTTTTTATTTGAACAATAAGTTATAGGAAATGAACGTATGCCATTAAAACACCTAGGTTTGGCAGCTTTTCCTATGAGGAGTGGAGTTAACTTTTCGGAGCCGTCCATGTTTACTGCTAATAAAATCGTTAATCTGTCTTTACTATGTTTCCCGCCGTGGCATTTTTCTTCTTTAAAAGTGAAAGTTTTATCTGGTAAACATTTAAAAAATAGAGCGGTTTCATCTGTGTTGAACACGTTTCGTGGTTCGTAATTTTTTAACAAAGTTGAAAGTTTACAATGCCACTCTGAACACACGTTATTGTCAACACTAGAACTTTCTCCATAAATTTTTTTGAAAACAATACCGTTTCTTTTTTTAAAATTCGTTAACCATCCATCACTAGCTGAGAAAAACGGGATGCCCAACTCTTTGGCGAATGATTTTGCTTTTTCTTTGAGTAAGAGGCCACTTACAGGCACATTTTGCCCTCTGCATTGCCTAACCCATTGTACTAAACACTCTTCTAGTCTTGGTTCTTACCTTTACTGTTTCGTTTCCGACCACCGCTTGATGACGCAGTGATGATTTTATTTTTGTCCTTCAAAATCGTAGACAGTGTACTTAAAGGAATGTCAAATGTCTTAGCCACTTCGGTTTTTTTGTCACCTCTTTCAAGCGCTTCAATCAATTGTTTTTTTTCCGAAATCGTCAAAGATTTGTATTTTTCAGAATTAGACGCACTCATCACATGAACTTGACTTTACAACCGACCAAACGAAACTAAAATAAAACTACATTCGACTGACGGCTATCGACGACTCGACGAGTTAAATTACGATTAGAGACAATTGAGAAATAAAACGATAAGGTTCTTACAATAATATTCTATAGTTATCGACAGTAATAATCTAAATTTCTACACGATTGTATAGTATTTATTAATAAAAAGATTATAAGAATACAGATAAAATACATTTGGTGAATATACTTCGAATTTCCGAGCATTAAACGAATGATACTTCGAATTGTCAAGTGTTAGTGGCCAGTTTTCCCAAAATTTAATTTCGAATTACCAAGTGTACTTAAATGCATTGTTTTTGTTCGAATTACCGCGTGGTTTTCAAGGAACCGAGTATTTACTTCGAATTACCGAATGTTTCGAATTATCGAAGGTTTGAATTACCGAGAGTCGACTGTATATATTGAATGTGTATATATAATAATAATTTACATTAAATCATTGCAATATTTTTTGTTTCTTTATAATTTCCTTACATTAAGAACACTATTTTATACTATTTTAAAACACCTATGGGGGAATCTGACTACCACATCACCCTTTATATACGCCCCTGATTTTACTGATAATTTTATATTTTTGAAAAATAATAGTGATTTTAATGTAATAAAAAGTATAATATTTGTACAAATGTGACAGGAATAAATAATCATATAATATTTATAAATTATGTTTACTTAATACAGCCGAGTCGTAATAACTCGAACCTTGATAACATGAAAAACTTGACTACTCGAATTTTGTTTTATTCCTTAAGAAAATACCCTATAAATTGGTTTACCTCAAAATGAATTTTTATCCCCCTTCTTCGCGAGTTATCGCGACTCGACTATATATTTGTAACTAAATTATTATTATCATTATAATTATTTTTTTTATTGATGCATGTAACCATTCGTCGATTGTGGCGTGTACAGCTTATGCAGTATACGTTTATTGTAGATTAAAATTTGCTGTGCAATTGTGCGTTTTAAAAATAATTTAAATTTTAAGTTGAAAAAAAAAACGATTTAAATTCAGTGATTTAAAATTCCAGGGGCCAAACGTCCTATGGGTAGGTATAAATAAATCTATATAACTCCTGGAGACCAAAGGTCCTATCATAATAATAGACCAGTGGTGGTCAAACGGGAGGGGGGATAGATCCCCCCATGATATTTTTTTAAATATTTATATTTCATCCATATTATACATAATATAATATAGGTATTGATCTATTTTCTATTTCAAAAAATAAATATACTGTACTTATTAGTTATTATTGTCACTAGGCTGGAATAAAATTAATAGGTCAAACATAAAACACTAAAATATTAATTGAAACAAACTTTTTAGGTTTTTTTCGTTTCTTTTATAGTTAAATTATAAGAATGCATGAAATTTAAATTTAGTACTTAATGCTTAACATAATATATTATATTATTATATGAATTGTGTAATTATATTATTTTAGAGTCGTCTATATATCATAGTCATAGTTAGTCACTATGGCTGTTCATAGTGGGGTTGTCAATATAATTGCAGACGAAGTACTGGACGAATTGGCAAATCAGAAAAATAAGATTAAAAAAAAAAATAAAGATTTAATAATATAAATATCATTAGTAATAATTAATAATATCATTAATATAATATAATTTTCATATTTAAAAATAAAGATTTTTATATATAGTGTTAGAAAATTAGCTACATCCCCTCCCCCATGATAAAATTATTTGACCGCCACTGTAATAGACAAGAATGAAACGTCCGTGGGCTTGTTTTTTTGACAGAGGCGAAATGTCCTTTTATCAGAGCAATAAAAAATATTTGATCCATTGATGGGAAATGTTCTTCAACCGAATTGAAAAAAATTCGAATATTTTTATTAATAAATGTAAAAATACTGAAATATACTTAGGTGTATTTTCTGTTTACCTAATTGTTTGTTTTTACACAAGTCTTAAAACTCATTTTATAGTTTAGGAACATACTGCGTTATGATACCTATGCCCTCCCTCATAATTATGCTACTACCAATATTAATGTTCTGATGACCTGATATAAACAAATTAAACAATTATGATGTTAATTTAAGCTTGTAAATATTCCTTTAAATATATTATAATTTAAACATGTTTTAAATTCATGCCTAAGTTAGTACCTATTGATAAACTATAGTTATAATTGATAAGCGATAGTAAGGTTTTTATATTTTTGTATTTTTTTTTTTTTTTCTAAATAGGGATTTATGTAATTTTACGTTGGCCACGTCAGCAAGGTAAAAAAAAATTCTTCTTCTTATTGTTAAAATACGGGAAATTAATTTTTTTAAGGCTGACACAACCGATCTCCCGAAATTTGATTTTGATAATATCTCATTGTTATCAAAATTGGGAAAATTGTACCAGCCTATGTCCTAGCCTGAACATTAAATTTACCGTTTTATTCATTATTTGGTTACACTGTTAAAGTGTAAACAAATTGTAAACCAACCTTAATACTTGTACCACCTTCGGTATTCCAATTTTCTAATTAATATGTACTTGTGATTTTCAGATATTTTGTTATTTGGTTTTGACTATTTCTTTTGCTCACTTGTTTATTTTTTTAATTTTTTATTGCCGTTTTACTGTAATTCAAATTTCTCTATCTATATTTAAATATCATTGAAGGTAAGGAAAATTATTGTTTTCTGAACATTTATTATACCTGTTCACGTTGGGAATATTATAATAAACGTGGCCTGTAAAAAACCGCCATAGTTCTTTTGCGTTGGTAGGTTATCGTTTAAGAAAAATTAAATATGAATTTTCATGTAAAAACTATTCTTAATTAGACGTACTACATTTGAATATCTGTTAGAGGTTTGCATTAATTGCTTCTTATATCAATTACGTTTAATTTATTCCGTGACCATTTAATATTTTGGTTCTTATAGTCTAGTAAATCATTTATATTATTTACTTTGATGAATACTTGTAATATTGTTAGATACGCAATATTTTTGGTTTTCTTGTTAAAGAATACATGAAAGATAACATTATTTTTTTAACTGTTAATTATTGTTTAGTAATTTTGGTTGTATTTTCTATTTAGGCTTAGGCTTTCTTTTTTTGTTTTTTCAGTTTCAAGACAGTACCTATATCGTTAATTGTATATTTTCCATTTAAAAATAATAAATAATATAAAAATTAAGTAAAAATGGATACACTCGTGAATTTTAATGAAGAAGATGAAATAATTCAACATTCTGAACCAAACATTGCATTCATTGTTGATGAAGTTACATTTGGCAAAGGTACACTTTATGTTGCGGAGAGTAAACTCTACTGGAAGAATGATGCTAATAATCAAACTGTCAGTGTTGATTACAAGTCCATGTGTGTGTTTGGTACATGTAATCACCCAACTGTTCATGAAAAACCTTGTATGCAAATAATAGTCGATTTTACTTTTAAACCTTCTGATAGTGTGCCATTTCAAAATGGTAATAGTCATGAAAACAATTCTGTTAATGAAGAAGAGAATAATGTGGAGAATGAAGAGGAAGAGGAAGAAATGAAATCTAAAATAAAACTCGTACCTGATAACCCAGAATGTCTGACAGAAATATATGAAGCATTCACTCGTGTCCAACCGTTGCACAATAGTCATGATTCAGATAGTGAAGATGATGAATTTTACTATAATGAAAATGATGAATTTGAAGATAATGATGAGGATGAAAATATGAATTAACTGATCTTTCTTTATTAATATTTAATAAATTCCGTTGATCAATATTTTTCTTTTGTTTTTTTTCTCTGATGCATATTTAAGACCAGTTAAAATAAGTACATCAATTCTCAGTGAACAAGTTTCATTTGTTTATATTATATAACACATGAATAAACTACTTTTATACTTATATTAATTTTGAATAGCCCTGTATTTTTTAAACAGTAGATGAATGATGTACCTGATATGTATTTTATATTATGTATAATATTTATGAAGTTTATTAATTTCATCTATTATTTATTACTTTTGTTTCATATATAAAATATATTTTTGTCTAAATAATTTGTACTCCATCTTAAATTTAATTACATCAACTATTTATAATGAACAACTGTAATTTTATTAATTTCTGTTTTCAATGTTTATAGTTATTTAATTTATGAAATTATCTTATTTTTATTACTATGTTAAAAATGTACAACATTAATTTATTGAATATATTTTATCCATGCAATTTAAAAAATATTAGTTCCATTTTATACTACCAGCAGAACAAAAAAAAAAATTGGTTTAGATAAAATGGATGTGGTGTGTGGTGCAATCCACTTTATATAAATAGCATTTAACATTTGACGAAAATAGATTAATTAAATATTTTAAAAACTATTGAGAATGCAATTTTTAAAAAATGTTTAATTCTTGTCTTTTGCAACAAACTAATGTAATGAACATTTATATTTAAGCTTTTTTCCATGGCATTCAGTACCTAAAACCATAATTATTATGTACTTTGTAGGTAATTTAGGATAAAATTATAGAAAAAACATTTATTTACTATTTTATAAAAATGTTTAATTTTTTGGGTTTATTAATAAACCAAGTACAATTTTTTTATATTTTTACATAAAAAAAAAAATTACAAGAATACACTTATAGTTTTAAAATTGTCTTATATAATTGATATTTTATAGAGGGAAAACATTTATCTTGACATCAAATTGCCTGTATATTTTGATCAATCCAAATATTTTTCAGTTTATGAACAAATATTGTTTTTAAAATACTCATAAATAAAAACAAAATGTATATCTAAATTTGTTATTTCATGAATTATTAATGTTATAAACGTGTTACACGTGTGCTAAAAAGTCTAGTAACATATATGTTATTAATGACCTTTTTAATAACTTTGTTTAACGCTTGATTATTTCATATGTTGCTATTAATATTGTTTTTAAAATGAACTAAAATACACTTCAGAAAAATAATTTTATAAATTTAAAATTCAAATTTTGTTGATGAGTACTATAAACATTAAATTTAATCACCTTGTAGACTAATTATTAATATTTTAAGAAATAATATATTTATATATTTAAAACATTTTATTAAATAAAATATATTTTTTGATTTTAGGTAAACTTAAGATAAATAATGACGGAAGCTGTAGTAAGTGGAAAAGATACTCGTTGTTTATTTATTAACAATGGAGATGATTTGTTGACTTTAAAAAAAGTTGTATCAAAAAAGTCAGACAAAGATGATTGTGAGAAACAAAAACATAAAAAGTCTAAAGAAACGAATGGTAGTGAATTAAATGGAAACCACAATAAAACTGATAGCATAAATTTTGATATTGATAATACATCATCATTGGAACCAAATTTAGAAATGGACAGTGATACAGATCGTAATATTACAATTGATTCAATTTGTACTCAAGAAGATCGAGAATCAGAGAATATAGATGTTTCTAATGAAAATTCAAATGAAGCTGACATTAAAAATGGAGAAAAAGATATTCAAGTAAGTTTTTACAAATCTTAAAAATATAAATATAATTCAAGTAATATTTTTAGAAATATCCAAAAACTTTAATATTTTTATCCATATATTTATTTATTCTAAAAGTTGTTTTTTTTAATTTTTATACTCAACATTGTAAAATAAATTATGTTATAAAGTTAAGCATGTTGGAGGGGGATCACCATAGAATAATGAGTAGATTAAGGCTGCTATGTTTAAACATATAATTACCTATTTTTGGATGGGACTATCATTTCATGAGAAAGATTTCTGCTGTCCTTTTTCCACATTTACCATGTATACCTTACAAAAAAAAAAAAAAAAAAAAACCTTTTAATAAACAAATGATCTACTTACTACCATTTAAAAAATGATTCGATTTTAATTTTCAGTATGTTTTTGATTACATTGGGTTTCCAAATATTTATTATTATTATTATTATTATTATTTGGACAGTAATCTGTTAAATGTTAATTTTAAATACATAACCCAATTATATTAATTTATTGATTTTTTTATTGTTCTTTTATTATTTAAGAAATTATGTAAAACTTATTTATAAATAATAATTTACAGGCAATTTCAATTAAATGTTCTGATATTCCATATTCACCAAGTGAATCAGTGGATGATATTGAGTATAACGATTTGGACGATGATGATTTGGAATTAAACAACATTAAATCTCCAGCATCTTATTTTAACATTTCATCAAGAGCACCATTACATTCTCATGGAGAATTTGACATAACATTAGAAGATGATATTTTACCGTTGGATGAAGAAATATTACAAATTAATGATAAGAAAAGAAAATTTGAAAATTCACCAGAAGAAGAACAGAAAACCAGTAAAGTACTTAAATTGTGGAATATTATGAAATATCCTTTTCAGAAAATAACTACTGGAACATCCTTAAATGAAAATGAATTGATTACATCTAAACCTGAAGTCAAAAATAGTGATGATAATCCTATGGTAACAAATGTGAGTGAAAACAATAGTGATCATTTTGAAATCGGAGAATCAAATAAATTAGTTGATCCAGAAATCGAAATAGAAGTTAAAGATACTTCTGAAACTTCAAAGAAATTTTGTACTATAATGTAAGGTATACACTTATGATTGTTGTAATATTCTTGTTTTAAAGAAATTTATGTGCATAATAGTAAAATAAAAGTTTATTATTTTAGATTGACTTTCTTCTCATCAAAATTATTGTACTTGATATAAATCCTCTTTTATACTATATGATACTCTAATTTGTTACTATTTTTTTTTTTTTTTACCTGAACTTATCCATGACCATTTACATCATCTAAAGTACTATTTTAATCAAACTTTGGATAATAATTTTACAAACATTTTATGTTGTTCCTTTGTATAACATAGTTTATTATGGTCTTATTACTATAATTACTAATCTACTAAAAAACAGTATTATGTTCCAAAGCAGTAAAATATACATGATTTTTTATTTTGTTTAATTATTGTAAATTTACAATTGGTAATAATAATTACATTTATTTATTTTAAATTAAACAAATTGTTGGAAAAATATGAATATATTATAAAACTATGTTATTTTATATTGGTCAAGGATTAATTTTATTGTATAAATATAATTTTTTTTTTTTAGATTATTAATTTTTGTACATTATAATTAACAATTTATAACTGTTCAGAAATATTCACCTTTAGTTTTTATTATAAAAATGTAATTATTAGTGTGAATAATTTTTATAGAAGTTATTAAAACTGCTTTTAAAACCTGGCTATGCAGTATATATGTTATTAATATTTTTAAACATTTAAATAAAATGTCATTAATATAACTATCTGATCTTAGAAATTTGTTTGATTAAATGAATTATTTATGAAATGAATATTTAATTATAGTGTTAATTACCATTTATTTTGTAAATAAGTTTATAATGATTGTATACCAGCCATTTTATGTTTTGGTTTTTGCTGTTTTTATTTTAATAAGTTAGGATGTATTATATATAATAAGATATTATCTACTTATTATTTTAGCATATTAATAAAGAATTAAATAAGAATATTATATTTTTACTTTAAGTTAGTTGTGTTGTAATTGTTTTTACAATTCTTTCTATTAATAAATTAGTATAAATAAAATAAATATTTTTAAAATTTGATTTAGATTTGCATATTTTATTATAACTAGGGTTGGTATTTTTTAAAAAAAATATTAAAAAATGCAAAAATATTTAAAAAAAAGTTTTTATTATTCTAATGCTTTATGATGTACAAAATTCTGTTTTTTTATTGCATTATTATAAATATTTTTGTTGGTATTCTGACACGGGAACAGGCGACATATAATTGGCCATGTTAAATACAAGGATTTTCAAGATTGATGACATTATAGACTTTTTATCGACCTATAGTTTTGTCGGGTTGGGCCGTTAGTGCGCACTCTAGACCAACTAAATAGTCAAGTTGGTGGTGACTGCGTACACCTACTAACAGTCGGCCGATCATTTCTATCGACAATTTTAATATATAGTTGTTATTATATTATATTATCTGTATTAGTTGCTATTGAAGAAAGTGATCGCGTGAAAATTAATGACAAAATGTTGTCCAGAAATGTAATTATTGCTTTGATACAACGGAAAAGAAGGATTACAAAGAAAATAAACCTAGAATATTGGTACATCCTATCTACACTGATAGATTATTACAAGGAAAGTTCTATAAAATGCACTCAAAATTATTATAGAGCGCGGGTCTTTTTTCGATTTCCTCTATTAAATTTTCAATAAATGATTTAATAAACAGCGACATTTTCTACCAGCAACAACTTCCTGTGTCGACTTACCTTCTATCGGTTTAGTCGGCCAACTAATTAATCGGCATGTGTGCGGGCGATGGGAAAGTGTTATATTGATTAAACAATCGGCCGATAGTTCGCCGACTGTTTAGTTTGAAGGCAATCGTACAGCCCATCAAACTTATTAATTGGCTGATACCAAATCGGTATAATGTGGGCTCTTACATTAACCTTCATACAATTTAAAACCCGACTAAACTGTCGGCCGATAAAAAGTCTGTCAGTGGCGTGGTGATGATATTATTTTGGAGCAATTGCTCCTTCGAAATTGTTAGTAGGTGGGTGGTCCCTCTACCAAAAAATACTTAACAATAATATAGATACATCATAACATCATATTGAATGTTTTAAGTGATAGTTAATATTTGGCTCACAAATGTACTATACATAATCCGTTACACTAGAAACAATCAGTGGCGTATTTTTAATTTTTTTTGGAGGGAGGTCCACAGTTTATACATAATTAATATAATATATATTATATTGTAATAGTTACGTCTTTATGTAGTTTTTGGAGGAAGTTGAACTAAATATATAATGTAATAATCGTATATTATTATGTATTGTTATAAAATAAATTCCAGTTGTAGAGGCTAACTCCTCTATCACTTCATCAACCGTAATTTCAACTTCCTTGTGAATGTTTAACATAGCCAATTATGCAAATATGTAAGAATTTCAGTTTATTTTTTATTTTTTTGAGAGTTTCTGGTGGGGTCCAGTACCCTTGGATCCCTCCCGTAAATACGCCACTGGAAACAATTGGTGCTAACCAATTGCAATACCAATGTTAACAACATTATTCAAAATTCACATAAACTGCATAGATCAAGATACAAGATAATTAATGAGTTTAATAAATTTACTAGATAATTAAATAGGTAAGTACATCTGATTATACAAATCAGTCTAACATACGTATATTTTTTAAATTGTAAATGTTTTGTTGTGGTGAAAATGCCGTTAGGATGAATAAAGGGTATCTTATGGTATATATATTTTTGCTCTTCACCAAAAATTAGTTCAACACGCCACTGAAGTCTGTATTTTGTGGGCTCTGTAACACTTGTTAACTGTCCTTGAGATTTATTTATCGACATTGCAAATGCTAGCCGCACTGGAAATTGCAACCGTTTAAAGTCGAATGTCATGTTTGAAATCAAAACGTCTTCGTCTTCATATTTCCCTAAATTGTATTTCAAAATTGTGGCTTCGATGACGTTGTTCATTAATTTCTTCGCCACAAGTGGAGTGCCTTTACAAAGACGTAACTGATTTATATTCCGTTACATAATGATTAGGTACGGATCAGATTTTTAATTTCAGATTATGAAGTGGTAATCCTGGTAATTCCAGCGAATTCAAAAACTGTTGAATAGTTGACAATATCATCTTGGTTAGTAACGAAATCAATCGATTTGAATATCATTAATTGTCAGCTATCTTATTTTGAATCTGAATGAAAATTAATTTTGTTAACATCAACGTTTTTTGCTGCCAATACAACTCGCTCAACCATACATGATCTTCCTAATATTGAGTAGTGTTTGGGAAAAATATCTCGATGAGTTCGGTCTTTGTTTCAGTATAGTGACAAAAATTGGTGGGTTATCCAGACGATAAGTTAACAGATATTTTGCCATTACCAATGTCGAGCAATTGTTTGGAAAAACCTTCTCTATATTGGTCGTTTTGCAATATCGATAGTACGTAATCCAACGGCATCGTACACACTATCGATCACGGTCAGGTCCGATCAAGTCTAGACCGGTCGATACACGATCCAGACTGCCGCGGTCACAAGCTTTTTGATCAAGACCGCCTAGTGCGAAGAGTCAACCGCCGTGCTAATCTCAGTCATATCCATTGTTTTGATTGTTTTTTGAACACTTTTGTACACTTTGTAGCAACATATAGATAGAACTTGACTGATTATGACCGGTAGTGAGAACTGTACATCATAATCCTTGACCGTGACTTGACCAAACCGAAACCGCTGTGATTCACCGAGTCTGAATCGAGCTTTAGAATATAAAGTCAAAATATATAATACAATGTAATGATAAGCTTTCTATAGATATTGATATATTAATAATAAAATGTAGATAACTCATAGTTGGGAATTTACAACTGATTGTCGCAGTGCTAAGCGAAAAATAAAAATATCGCGCTCAATCTTGCGGTAATATTTTCGCTGCGGTATTAATTTCGCGATAGTGAGTGTGACTGTATTAAAACGTACGGACATTAAATTTCGCTGCCGCTACCGCATCGGTTTGAGCGGACCTTAATGTGTACTATACAATTATTGTATTATAATATATAACAGATTGGCTCCAACTTCCAAATAAAAATCTTGAATATTCGACTTTATCAAATCTTAAACTATTATTGGTTCATTAGAAAATTAACAGAGAAGTTGGTGGAGCTCCATTAAGATTATGTTTAATATAGATAAGGCGTCGGGTAGGTATATTTTGTAATCGCCCGTGCGCGGACTCGTCAATGTGCTATGTGACACCAGCCGTCATGCTGTAAAAATAAACGAAAAATAAACTAAGAACTTACGGCACGTTTTTTCACTAAATATCCGGGGAATCAGTAAACGTAACAGAAGTCTTTAATATTTATTATTATTATTATTAGCTATTATGTTTAATAATTTCTTAACCAGGACAATACAAACTATATATTATTTTATGTATATTCATTGTATATTACTTTCAATATACTATTATGCTTTAGAATAAAATAGAATTGGCCATTTTAAAACAGAAATTATTTAATTATTTATTAGAGTTTCGATCTGTATAAAATTAGTTGGATAAAATTCTTAGTAACTAAATACAGGGTTGGACTAGGTCTTTAAATCGGCCCGGGCTAAAAAATTTTATCGGCCCTATCAAAGTGAAATTATTTTATATTCGTATTAAAATAGAGAAAATAGTCTGGAGGACACCAAATCTCCATTTTTATTTCTAAATTGAACTTATTACATTAATTAAAACTTAAAAGTTTAGTTAAACGATAAAAATCCTATGTTATAGGATGTAGGTTTTTTAAAAAAAAATGTTGGTATTAATAATTCATTTATGAAACCGGCCTCATTATCAATTTATAAGACCGGCCCACCGGGCTTTGCCCGGTAGCCTGGTGGGCCAGTTCAACCCTGACTAAATATATTGAAAGTGAATATAAATGAGGTTATATGTAATAAAAATGATTTTGTAAATTAAAACTGAAAACTATCTTTACTGCTATGTGTTATACTTATAACAGTGATAACAATTTAAAATATTTCAATCATTAAAGATTTCAATTTTATTAACATTTGTTATGATACAATATAACAATTTCATAAATGAGATTAAAATTAATTAAGTACATACAGTTTAAGATAAATTAATATAAACATTCAATCTTGATTATCACAATGAAATTCTAGAGCTAATAAAATAATTTTGATACATATAAGAAAATCACACCAATTTCTTTTAATTTCCACAAACCCAATATACTTAATTATTTGATTGTAAGTCATAATGCAGTACTTTCCACCTGAAACATAAAGTTTTAACTTTTTATTTATTATGAAAAATAATTTATAACTAGAGTTAGAACATTAAAAAAATAAACCATATTTAACTACATTTAATTATACATAAAAACAGTAAGGAAAAATAATATTCATTCTCAATTAAGTTATAACATTGATAAAGAGTCTTCTTTAAATATCATACATTAATCAAATAACAAATAGAATACTTATACGATCAAAAGAACCTTTGGTGCATAATATTTTATAGATTACAATAAAATAATATATAAAATATCACTGACTATTTTTTATAATTATATCAAATATATATTTAGATTTAATTGTAAAATATAGGTTATTTATAAGGCTATAGCCATAAAAAATTTAAAATTGAATTTTTATTAAATAATAAAATAATAAAAAATATTTTATTTATAATAATTGAGTCGTGATTTTAATGACTTTGTATATACCAAGGGTGGCCTGCGAGAAGGACTAGTAAGCCACCCAATATATTAATAAATATGGAAGAACCGAAATATAAAAAAGGTCGATTATATATTACTATATAATTATATATATCTAGACGTAGTAGTTCGTAAAGCAGAAGTACCTATTGCAAAAATTGTTAGCGTCTCAACCAGGAACAGACTCGTCAGGGGAAGTGTGTCTCCCCTTAAAAAAAAGCTACTTGTAAATAATAACTATTTAAAAATGTATAGAAATATTTTTACTTTTATTGAAAATACTCGTATATTATAGCATTTTCTATATTTATTATAAATTTAAAGCCATAAAATATAAAACCTATAAATAGTTATTTCGATGGAAACATTATTTTGGTAATTTTGATGACAGTCGCCGTTTCAGTGAAACTGACGTCCGACAGGTTCAATCGTAATTTGTAATTTTTTGGCTTGTTGGACAGATGGGCCGGGGAGAATAATCCGCGAATTATAGACGCTATTGAAACTGGGTTCACGACAATAATTTCTGTGCCCTCGCGTCGTCGTTAGTCGCTGTACAATGTCATCAACGAATTCGCAGATAAAAAAAAATTGCAGAATCGAATTACTTTATGAAAACATGTACCATTAAATTAAGTTGAAAATATTAACTAAATATTAAATTAAGAATTAAATATAATTCATTTTCCAATAAAAGGGTTTTCTTGTTCGTTGTTGTATGGAGTTTATATTAATTAATTTAAGTCTCCCCAGAATATATACTACGAGCCAAGGGCGTATTTAGACTTACTTCTAGAGGGGGGACTCAATTTTTTTCTTTAATTCAGGCTCAACATTTACAAGTAAAATTGTTGGTAATATTTAAATCAGATGAACCCTTAATATTTGTGTTTTTTTTTTTTAATCAAATGCCGGATCCACTTAAAATCGATTTTTGTGTAGTTCTTTTTTAACACCTGTCAGTGTTATGAAATTTACACTTGTGTTTTATTTGATTTTTCACTAAGTATGGACCCGACAAAAAGCCCAATTCAATATTCACAGTCACGCGTAATTTGATTTCGTTATAAAATTATCCACATTAAAAAAAATTTGAAGTGTGTATCTCACATACAATAAATTCCTTAAATATGTATTCAGGGGGGAGGAAATTCGCCTCCCCTAAAATACACCCATGCTTCGAGCCGCTACTGGTCTCAATTGTGGTGCACCTAGATGACATGTTGTAAAAATGGACTGATAGGTATTTTAAAAAGTGATACTGATTTTCCAAACTTTATTCCAACTTACTTCATTATTCATAGAAAACACCTAACGGTTAAATATTTTAAATATGAAAACGTGATGAGTGTTGTTTTTAAAATTTAAAATTACATATGTTTAGGTACAAAGATACATCGCCAATTTAAAAATTAAGTTGAAAATTTAGAGGATGATATCCTAAACGATGTTCCCTGGTGATGGAGTATATAAGGGGGGTGCCTAGTGGAATACAGCCCCCCTCCCCCGAAATGTTTAAAAAAACTTAAAAATTATTTTAAACGTATATTATATTTTAATGGCGCTTAAAGGTCTATTCACACATATTAGTCACGAGACAGTGACGTATCCGATCAAAGATAGTCAAGTTACCGACGATTTTGACTGATCAGTCAAGTGTATTTCACACATATCAGTTGGCGAAACCGGTCAGTTCCGAGAAATCGGGTCGGTTGAGTTTGTTGTATCAAACACGCGTTTACACATAACGTATTAAATATTTATTTTGCATATTTTTATTTATTTAATTTAATAATATTAAAATTACATTGTGAATATGGCAAATTTCACTGACAAAGAATTATCTATTACCGCGATCATTTTGGACGAGGAAACCGAAGAAACGAAAGTGGGTGGATGAGGCATGGCAAAAAAGAGTTCTTGATACTATATATGTTCATATATCTTGGATTTGAAAGATCGTACAGCACTTCATAGTGACGAACACATTCGATGTGTTGTTCGTCATCCATTTCACCTACAATTCTCGTCCGTCAAAACAGAAAATATCGTTGATGAGAATTCAAAAGTTCTCGGATCTGTGACTGAACGGATACTGACGGATCGGATTCGGATATAAAACTGATGAATGTAGATGCAATATAAAATTAGCGAAACGTTATTTCCTATACCCGACTTCGCAGCAGGGGCGTTTTTTAGGGGGAGGGCGAAGAGGGAGATCACCCCCCCCCCCTGAATCCGTATTAAGGAATCGATCATATATGAGAAAAACATTTCAAATTTTTTAATATGGATCATTTTATAACGATATTAGTGTCCATACCAGGGCACCAAAACGTTTTTATAACGTTATAAGTATAACGTTAAAATAGTCAAAAAGTGATTGAAATCGATAACAGATAACGAAACAGAAACGAAAAACTATTAAAATTAATATAGAATAACATAACAGAAAACGATTAATGATTGAAACATAAAAGAAATTGCCATGGAAAAACAAATTTGGAACATAGTTATTTTTGTAAAAAATTACTTAAATTACTTGGTAATCTAAATAAAATATGTATAAAAAGGATGTTTAAAACAGCAATAAATTTATTGACTAATAATATACAAATAAACATTACCAATTATAATTTATAAATATGCTTTCTGAAAATACGTCGAATATTGTCGGAACCCGTATGGTCAGCCTCATCAAAAATAATTTCGGTGAACGTGCTATGTACATTTTATTAAACAAATATGATTGCTTTATTTATAAGTTATGAGCAGGGCTCATAACTTATAGCTCTAATAAAATTAATTATAAGCTCTATAATATGCTCTTAAAAATATTCATATAAGCGCCTAAATATGCACTAAAAATCCAAAAATATGCAAAATAAATAAATATGAAAACTAAACAATTTTCATTTATTATTAAAAAAAACGTATTATGTATAAAAGAAAATTTAAACTTTATTATTAATATTCTGATCACGTCGTTATATGATACAGATAAATATAAAATTTAAACCAAAAGAAGAAGAATCAGTTAATTAACAAGAATTACAAATATAAAAATTAATACTACTATAATTACTTGTTATTACTAAGAAAAAATGTTTTAAACGCTACAGAACTGAAAATACTTGAAAAACAAAATAGCACTTATACTATGATATATGCAAAAATATGCAACATAAAATTTCGTATTTAATTTCTTAGTTATGTAAAACAAATGTATAGCTCACATAGGTATTTCTAGGACCTCTCAAAAAATATATATAAATGCTATAAATAATGAGCCCTGGTTATGAAATATGAGGGTTATATAAAGAAAATATCGTTAAAGGCAGGGGTGTATTGGTACATATACGCGGGTATACACATCAGCAGATTTTCGATTTTAGACGTATACCTAATGTAAAATATTATTTTACGGGTATACGCTTCTAAAATGACTAGAAAAAAAAAACTAATTATGAATTTAATAGTTCATTGGAAAAAATTACTATGAACCATGAAATTGATTGAAATATTTAGCTGTTGAAGATTACAGTGTACACTGTGTTTAATGTATTTTGTTAACTGTAGTGAATAACATTAAATAAAATAGTATGGAGTGCAGTGGCGACGCGAAATATTTTACTTCATGAGTCCTGATAGGATTTTGACCAACCACCCATCCACCAAAAAATAAATTTAAGGGTAGCTTATAAAAACAGTTCCCCCAATATTCGTTCTACATGCTATATACCCACTCGATACCCAATAGTTAATACCCACCCACTGACTTGAGTCCAGGGACTCAAAAATCTGCCGTCACGCCGCAACTGATGGAATGTGAACATTCAGCTCATGGTTCTTAATTTATAACGCGCTGAAAATGTATATCTTGTAGTATTATATTTTATAGTGTTAATAGAAGTTATAAATATGTAGTTACAAAGGATTAATTAAATTTATACGAACGTATCGAGAGAAAACAATTGTCGAACGAAGCAAGAAAATTTATTTTAGGATTAATATGCATATTTTTTTAGTGCGTATACCTACAAATATATTTACCAATACACCACTGGTTAAAGATAATTATATATATATATATATAATATAATATTTAAAATATGTAATGTTATTTTACATATTATTGATTGGTAAATACTATATTTAAAAACGTTCCAAATTTTACACTAATTTAAATAACGCAAAACGCTAAATTGTTCATAACTGGGGCTAGGAAGTTGATGACCTTAATAACATTAAAAAATGACCTAAATAATTACAAATATTTGTTTTAAATTAATGAAAATACATTTTTTTTAAATATTTTATTCTATTTTACTATAACATTCTATATAAATTTATCAAAATTTATTAATTTCAAAATATGACATAAAAATGACAACAAATGTCCTTAAAATATGAAATAAAAAAATGACAAACATTTGTTTTATAAATTTATCAAAGCTTACAAATTACTCAAAAATCAAAATCATTGCATTGTGTGATTAGAGCGTATTTGATGTTATCAAAAGTAAATCAATGACGATTATCTGTTTATAAATATTTATACTTGGAAATATTTCTCTCCACATCCACTTCCCTGATTGGGAGACGCAGACGAGCACTAACCGGCGTTTCAATTTTCGCCATTTCAAAAATATTACGAAAAAATAATAAAATTTAGTATAAGTTTTATTCACTAAAACATGACAATGAAGCGACGACTGTAATAAACGAGATAATATCGGATACTAATCGAATATTAAGAAAAAATAATAAAATGTTGGTAAACAAATGTTGGTAACATTATAATACTATTCACTACAACACAACAACAAATGTAATCGACGAGATAAAATCGCATAAGTCTTAAGTTATCAGAATAATGGTCGATAAAAAACAATAAGAAATGAATTAGTGTGAAATCAGAAAAAATGACTGAAAATGTGAAAAGTTTACCTAAAAATGTCAAAAAATGACTTAATAAGTAACAATAATCAAAAAATGCAAAATAAAAATTAGTTATTTGTATTCACAAGCTAATGAAACACATTTTTGACAAGGATAGCATCTTCTAAAAAGTTCGAAAAATAAATGCAAAATACATCAATTTCCGAGCCCTATTCATAACGTTTTGATTGTTAATAACGGTAAACGGAACATTTTTTAAACGTTTAAATTTGTATAACGTTTAAACGCTAAAATTGAATAACGTTAAAATTATTTATAGCGTTAATGCTCAATTGCATATAACGTTTAAATGTCCCATAACGGTAACCAATAAATATTATTTTGACTTAAGCTCTGGTCCATACTTAGTAAAAAATCAAATAAGTGAAACTTTCAAAACACAGATGGGTGTTAAAAAAGAACTACACAAAAGTCCATTCTAAGTGGATCTGGCATTTCCGGCATTAGATTAAAAAATAAATAAAATAACCAAAAATATTAAGGATACATCTGATTTAAAAATTTTACTTGTAAATTTTGAACCTGAATTAAAGAAAAAAAATTGAGTCCCCCCACCCTAGAAGTAGGTCTAAATACACCTTTATGCTTGTTTAGAATTTTCGTCCAACGTTAAATCGTTTTGGGACATTCTGTAAATGAAATATAGATAAGTACCTACTGTGTCTTGTTAGTAATTCTTAGATAGCAGTGGTAATTTAACTCTGTCCATAGAAAATATTCTAATAGTTTCTAATAGTCTCTCGAAAATATTTTCTATATACGCCACTGTTCCGTGGTATTATTTAGTTTGGTAGTTATAGGTAAATAGTGTTTTAAGACCATTTTTCGATTTATTCGAAGCTATTAAAACATTTTTAAAAAGAAAAAGATAAAAACTTTCTACAACTTTCGGACTCACAATGGTTAAGAAATATCTAATTTTGTACTGACATGCGTCACTTAGCAACTTCAAGGTCAAAATAAATTTATAAATAACCTAATACAAGATATTTTTAGTTTCCAAAATAAGCTTAAACATTTTCGAAGAGACAAAAAAAAAATACCTAATTGAAACCATTTTCCGAGCATATAAAAATTGAGGATTCAACAAAATTGAATTGTGAAGATTATGTACATAAATTAGAGTGTTTATCAACTCACTATGAAGATCGATTTAAAGACTTGAAATTACTTAAACCTTCAATTGCATTTTTAGAATTTCCCTTTTTAATTAATGTTATTGAAAATGGATGTCCAATATTAAAATCGATTTAAATGGATACAGTAGCTTTAGAAATTGAACTCTTGAAATTATTGGAAGATGAAGGACTGAAGCAATTCAAATATAGTTGTTAATATTGTGTATTAATACCACTTATAAGTATGAACATTTAACTAGGTATACCTTTTAGGTATATACCTAGTTATATATAAGGGTAGTGCAAACTGCAAACAAATTTGTTAACAATTATTCATAATAAATAATTATAACAAGAACAATTATTAAAATTGTTGAAATAGCCCCCTCAAACTAAACTAAGATCAAAATAAAATAAACTAGATAAAATTTCCTATCAGGATCTAATCAATCTTGGTCAAAATCATATAAACAGAAAATAAATAGTGATTGAGGGTTTAAATCTTGATCAGAGTTAAAGTTTTTTTTTAAATTTTTTCTTTGATTTTCTCAATCATCCAGAAAAATAATGAGAGATAAGATTTAAAAAAACAACCATTACATTTCTTATTTAACTCAATGGTCAGAATAAAAAAAAAAAGAAAAAAAAAAAAGAAAAAGAAAAAAAGTTAGGTTGCATAATATTTGCAATATTTTATATTTCATTATTAGATATCCATCAAATAGTAGCAATATTATGTAATGTTTTAATGCATTTAATTATTTTTAAACATCCACATTTTGACAATATTTGATGTATTTTATTTGTCGTAAATATTTGTATATTTTAAACACCTCTATAATATTTAATATAAATCTAATAGTTCAATACGGAGACATTTAAGTAGAATCAAATTATCTATACGTACTTAGTCTTAATTTAGAGTAATATTTATATATATATTTGTTACAGGCTAAAGTTGATATACGAGACATATTCGTATGTCAAAATATCAAGAAAATTTCTTTATATAATATTAAAAAAAAACAGACAGATAATAACGGATAGAAAATATTTTACATTTTTAATTATGATATATGACTACAAAACAAATTCGTGCAACTAAGAGTGGACTAGTTAATAAATATTTTACCAAAAGCACTGCAATTTATACATATTACAGGTAAAATACATCAGATAAAATAATAGCCAATGTCATTAAAATTGTTTAACATGCGACATAATAGTATTACCAATATATATATATTGAAGAATGAGGGTTAAAAAGTTAATGGAATCTTTCTTTGTAACACTTTACGTTTACACCCATCTGAAAACATTTATTCAAACAAATTTGATTTGTTATAATTAAATTTTAAAATGTTTGAAATTGTATTATAATTAAACAGATAAACATTTATAGAACTAAGTAAATTATTGTTTTAAAATATTTACTTGAATTGATCTCGAAGATTCTAATTCGACGGACATACTGGGATTTCTCCTATTCAATAATGGTGTCATAGTTGTTCGTTCATCATGCCCTAGACCAGTTTTAGTGTCAGATATATCAGAGCCAGCTAAATCAATACCACTTTCATCTGTTTCATATATGTCTGAACCATTTTGAGTGTTCAACTTTGAAATTTTTGTATTTCCAGAACTTTTTACAGCAGTTGCAATTTTCTCAGCAGTTTTTTTACCAAAATTAGCAGCAATTTTTGGCAAACTACGTTTAACTGGTATTGAATCAGCACTCGGATCTTTTACATCATTGGTTTCTTCTGTTATTGATGATAAATTTGCAGCAGCATCAAAACTTTCATCAAATGTTCCTTGATTATTCTGAATTGGAATGTCATCTAAAATAATTAAACAATACATTTATATTATATTATATTATGTTATTATTAATATTATTATTATTATATTTATTAAATTAATTTGGTTACTTTGGGAAACCTATAATAAATTGATTATGGAATTAATCAATAAAATGCAGTAATAAAACACATGCAGAACAAAGGTTTAAAAATAAATTATTATTTGTCACTTGATAATAAAACACAAATTAAAGCATGAGTACAATGAGTTTTTTCTAATCAAGACAACTGAAAATGAACTTACACAGTAATACATAAATAATAATAATATTTAAGACAACAGAAGCCTTTAAAAGATTTACACATATGTTTGATGTTTGTTTTTGTTTATTCATGTTGCTCAACTTTGACATTTAGATATAATTTTTATACATAATTTCTATGATTAAATATCTTTGTCTACAATTTGGTTAGATTAGTATTTAATAATGATTGAATTAATAATGGAATACAAAGTTTTATAAAGTAAAAAAAAAAAATGAAAAAAAATAAATAAATAAAAAAAAATTTCAAACATTTCTATCCAATTAATATTTTTTGTAATCTATAAATAAAAAACATTATACAATCATACAATTACTATAAGTGATGCTGAAGTCCTAAAAATTTGAGGTCTAGGACATTTCGACATAGGGCCGTTTCGACGTGAAGTCGTTTTGGCGTAGGGATGTTTTGATGTTAATTAATAAGTTTGAAGTTATTTAATAGTTAAATGTTTATATTTTTAATTAAATAAATAAAACAATGTATAATAAACATATTAATTCAAATAAGGAACATACTATTAAAATTATAAATAAAAATATTCAATTCATTATGATTAAACTACGCGTCATTCCTCTTAAAAAGCTCATATTACGATTATCATGATCGTTGACTAATTTTAAAACACGATCATCGACTTCGATGTATTTTATATATAATAATATAATATAGATTATGTTCTGCGATAATATAATTCCAATTCTACTTTTATAAGTTTATATACATGTAATCAACGAGAGTGAGATAAAACCTGATAAATGCTTTTCTATTTTGTGACAATCATAAATATATCAGATAGAAAACATTATGTAAACGAGATTAAAACCTAAGCGACTACGTCAAAATGGAATTCACGTCGAAATAACCTGACGTTGAAACGTCTGGTTACAAGAAATTTGGTTAAGCCAAAAATATTTAAAAAGGTCATAATATATAAATATTGACCTCAATGGCATACTGGTGGGATTGTAAGTAGTTTTTAATAAAATAATATTAATGTTCAATTTTAAAGAAAATGTAAATTACATTTTCTCGCCAACTAAGATGACCAAGAGTGGTGAAATACGAAAGTACATTTGATGGAAAATGAAAATATATTTCATCATAATACTGTGGAAAATCGATTTTATAAAATTTGTAAATGTTACTAGTGATATACTATCAATATAATTTGTAATTTTTTAAAATCATCTTAGTATACACATAAATTAAAACAAAATATTTTTAAGTATATACTAGGAATAAATAAAACAATATTCATTCCAATGTGTGGAACAAGGTAGGTAGAAAAGTATGATACACTTCTAAGATTCTTTGAAATGTATTGTCCGATTTTGAAGTATTGAAATTGAAACTTGAAAAGTTATCAAAAGATTTTCAAATATTTCAAGAAAAATTAAATTAGTGTATTAGGTTTATAGTACACTATTTATTGATTAATTTAATCATAATATAATAGTAAATTATAATTAAAACAGAAATATAAGATAAATTTAATTACTAAAATTTATAAAACAATGTAATATTTATAATTTAAATTATAATTTGATAATTTCATACTTTATTGAGTTTATAAATGTTTCAATTTTTTCAACTAACGAAAAAATTTGATAGTTAAAAAACATATAAGCTCTTAACCCTCAAAAAATAAATTATTTTGCTGGCTACATACGGCCTTATTCATTGAAAGCTGATGGTGGTTGAAAATACAGAACTATTACAAGATGATATGAGTATAATAGGTATATCTAGTATAAGAAAATCTACAAAGGTGGGTAAATTAATGAAAATAATTAACTTGAGTTAAGTTAAGTTAAGAGAACACAAGATCGATACATTAAAAGTTAATAAGGAAAAAAATATAAACTTAATTCAGTTTTAAAACTACTTTTTTTTTTCAATTAGTATGTAGATCATAAAAAAAATTGAGTGTTTTTTCGAAAGATATAATTTCCTAAATTATAACTAACGATTTTATTGAATTTCTTATTATAATATACAATGGCACCGAAGTGTTTAAAAAATACTATGACATGGTACATCAAGAGCCCACTCATTACAGTATTTATTTATCTTTATAGTTAAAATTCTTTATGCGAAATATATATATATATATACAGTGCCATATTTAGAAATTTTGCGCCTTGGTGCAAAAAAAAAAAAAAAAAAAATTGGCACCCCTCTAAGGGGCCTGACCACGGAAAACATAGGAGATAGATCCTCATGAACCTTTGAGATATTCTAAAATCAATGTTATTTTTGTATAGTAGGCATGCCACCGCACAGCACACGCGATACCATAATACATCATATTATTATAAATAACTTAAACTTATTGAAATTATTACAACAAATTTGAGAACTAATATAAGGTATATTCAGGCTCATATTTAAAAATTTAGCGCCCCCAGGCAATTATTTACGCCCCTCAACCCAAAAAATAAATAACAATAATATAACATTTATTATTTCATCCTTAATCGAGATTCTTTAATATTAAAATATAACTTATAATTGAAAATCGTTTAATACTTTTTTTAACTAACAAATTAAACAAATTATAACATAATAAAACATACTATTTTATTTTTTTTTCATTAGGTACATAATTTTTAAAATTAATTTTGGTAAAATATTTTGCCGCCCCTGAGACTTGACGTCCCCGGGCATGTGCCTACCCATGTTTCCTCCCTAAATAAAGGCCCGGATATATTAATAATATTCTGGATCGCTCATAGCTGTATTGCTATAAATACATTAATCAATTAAATACATTAACATAAATTTATGATAATGTATTTAATTTATAACATAAATATATAATTAATTAATTAGTAACATAAATTTATGACACTCTTATTAAAAACGACGGTGATAGTAAAACGTGATAGTTACTATCGTGAACGCTACTATTGAGAAACTGTCATCATATGAACAGATCGATAGTGGCATCAAACTATCACCACAGCTGCTCTCGCACTATCATACGTGTATGATAGTGTATAGTAAATATTACGAGAGTGATAGTCATTATCAGGGTTGGGATTTTATAGTACTTAAAATTGCATAAATTGCGCGCTAATATTACCTTAAAAATCGCTAAATAAGCTCTAAAATATGCAATAAAAACAACAAAAAAAAAGGAAATTTATTAATTTAATAATTTTATACGAATACACGAGACGAATGTGGACTGTATAAAGCAAATTCCACGCTCATTCATTAATAATTGCCTTTTTTTAGATTTAATAGAAATCGACAAAAAAACCCAACAAAATCAGCAGATAACAAAAATTAGAACCAAATAACTAAAACGAAATTATTGAATTATATTATACCTATCTATATATTATCGCTGTAATTGTACAGAGTTGAATCAGCGTAATCGGTCTATTTACTTAATCTATACATTTATAATTTAATTTATAATTTAATTTAAAATTTTGAATCTTAAAAATTCGATTAAAAAATATCAAAAAACACGTTTACCAAAATACAATTTCATAAAATATGTCCGATTTTGATTAAAACACAGATAAAAAGCAAAAGTCTCAAAAATCCAAAAAAAGCACTATAAAGTAAAAAACGCAAAATATGCAAAAAAAAAGCAAAATAAAATTTTTTGAGTTCTCTGTATCATGAAACACATTTTTAGCCTACTCTGCTATTTTTTAAGCATCTCATAAGAAATATGCAAATGCTATAAAATCCCAACCCTGATCATTATCATCGTGTGAACTACCAAAGTTTGATCTTATTACTATTACTATCACACTATTACACATTATTATTATATATATATTATTATTATTTGTGCAAATTATATTTATTTTTATTAATTAAAATCAAAATAAATAAAAGTACATTTAATATTCAAACATTTTTGGAAGAGTACCAAAGGTTCCCGTGCCTTTGGTTTAAAAGTGATCCTGAATACAAATTAAGAAATAAACATGATTTTGCTGAAGAAAAACTACTTGAAAGTACAGGACTTGACTCTGTCAAAAAATTGAAGCAGTAGATCAGAAATATAAGATTATTTGTATAATAGCAACCTAAATTTGTTCAGATGTTATTTTAAACTTATAAAATTAAACAAAAAAGATTCCACGAGTATAATTTTTTGCAATCAAAAAACAATTACAATGCAATACATTATACAATACAATACTATGTTATAATAGTGAAACTATTACAGTATCATGTAATTTGGTGTGAACATCATAGTGATAGTGATAGTAGCTATTGTGATAGCGTCAATAAAAACTATCACGTTTTACTATCACCGTGTGACCGCGGCTTTAGACATACAGGTTAGCTATCGTATATCTTTATCTCGGAGTGGAGCTGGGTACTCGGTACTCCTTCACAGCTAATGTGGCCTCGACGTCGAAAAAGGCGATTGATGCTGCAAGGGCCATTAGAAGACTCATGCCCAACACTGGCGGACCATCATAAAGCAAGCGAGCTTTGCTCGGCTCGATCGTTAATAGCTATTATACGTCTCTCCGGTCTGGGCAGAGCATGGTTATAAAACGGCGAAGAAAAGTGCTTCCATGGCCAGAGCTCAGAGGACTATTACGCTACGCACAATTCGGGCCTACCGTACTGTGTCGGCCTATGCCTCAATGCTATTGACCTCAAATCCACCCACTAAACTTCTAGCGCTCAAAAAAAACTAGAATTCGTAGAAGAATAGAGGAAGCCGGTCCTACGATCCCAGCTAACATAATCAAAAAGGAGGAGATGAAGATCTCAAATAGCGCTTGGCAAAATAGGTGGGATCGGTCGACAAAAGGGAGGTGGACTCACAGGCTCTTCCCAAATGTTGATAGATGGCTTAACAAACCATCTGTCACTGAGTTTCTATTTCACTCAGGCTCTGACAGGACATGGGTGTTTTCGGAGCTATCTGCATAGGATGAACAGCGCAGTAGACACCATCTGCACGTACTGCAGGAATACGGACGACACAGCGGAACACACGAGTTTCCACTGTCTTCATTGGGCAAACCACCGCGAGGTCATGCGACCGTTCATCAACGGCAAACTTCCTTTACCCGAGGCGGTCTGCAATATCATGTGTGGTTCTGCAGACTGGCCTGAACTTGACATTAATATAACGCGACTACTAAGCTGACAAGTTCTGGATACCGGGCCACGAATAAATGGACCAGCCAAAACGGGATTCTAGACCGCCTGGTTCTGGACATCGAGTCACGAAGACGCTATTAGAACGAGACTTCAGACTGTCCGGTTCTGGACATCGGGTCGAGAAAAAGCCATGATCAAAATTATTAATCGCCTTAAGCAATGTTATAAATATTTTATTGTGAGGCCATCGAGATCTCCACCTGATGCTTCTATGCAACTAAGGTGTATTGTATATAAGTTGGGATTTCGATGGAACAATTGAAACGGGTAATCAGGACCATCCCGAAGGGGGGTATTGGGGAGAGGGGGTGTCTCACCCCTCCAACGAAATCACCAGTTGACAATCAGACTTGTTTCATTATAGCCTAGGACCTAATTTTACTTACAAAAACCAAATATTATATATTTCGTAATACAGTGTATACCCGAATAAAATTTATATAACTACTTATTATACAATATAAAATATTATTATACTCGTATATATAAAATTAAACTGTCAATTTTAAGAATGTGCGAGACTGACACATATATATATATGTTAAAAAGTAAAAATACGATTACATATATTTAATTATACTACATACATTGGGTAAAAAAATTATAGTCAGCATTTTTCATATTATTCACCCTCCCCCCCCTTGATTTTTATCTTGGGGACGAAAATCTTCAGCCCTGCGTGTAATTATTGATCTTTATTAATAAACGATGGGAACTGAGTGTGCATTAATGAGATAAACGGCTCCCGCTCAGTTCTCGGTTCAACCATGAAAAAAAAAACAAAGCTATCGTACATCTAAATTGCATTGATAGCTGACAGAATGTGTTACGGGTTTAGTACACATTTTCGCCACCTCTTTAAAGCGCTAGAAGTATGTACGGTTATATTATTATAGTAGTTATATGAAAAAGTCAAATGATTTGTCAGAAGTTGAGCTTACTAATTTAAAATCAAAAGGAGGATTAACCAATCCAAATTTACATTTATTTCACTTTCCATACAAAGTAGAAGAGTGCTTTGCTAAACACTGAAAATAATTAAAAAACGTAATTGATTTTATAGTAGAAAATGCTTTGAATATTTCGATCACATTTCCATGCTTTGAACATAAAAATAATGTAATCATATCTATTCTGATAAATTACATTATGATGCAAATGCGCCAATCTACAGTTCAAAATAATCACTAAGAAATTAAAAAGAGTAGACAAAAGAAAAAAATATAGCCAAACTAATCTCAACTTAAATAATACAGATTTTTGCTTATTTTTTTATTGATATATTGTTTCTTGTGTTATTTTACTGCATTATTTGAAAACATTTTAATATATTTAAATATTTAATTTTAATTTGCTTTTAAAGTATTATTAGCTTATGGCCTTTGCAAATATTATAGATTAGATAAAATAAATAATAAAAGTAATTTGTAACTTGATTGAATTTATTTGAAATATTTTGATACAGTTATGAAGAAGATAAAAGTTATTTTGGATAACAACAATATTATCAAGTAGATATACTAGAAAGACAATTGGTTTAAAATTAAAAAAAAAAATGTTAAATATAGTTGAATATTTATGTTTGTTTTAATTAGTCACATTGCAAGTGGCTTTTAGTAGCATAACTATAACAGGTGATATGGATATAATTATCAAGACACCTACTTTTAAATTTCTTAGCCATTTTTTCTGTGTAATCAACAGTTTTAAATAATGATGATGCATCAATCGTCATTTTAAGTTTTTCGAAAATAAATGAATGCTTTATAATAATTTGCCATTTGGCCATCTATTAGTAATGATAATTAGATATTGACATAATGATATCTAAATAAGTAAATTTATTACTAGAGCCCGGATTTATATACATTTGCATGTTTGTATTAAGTATATGCACGTCTATGGAGGTTTAAAATGTCCACGATTCATATCACACCGAATTTAAACCAAATTTTATATTGCATATTTTGCATATTTCGAGGGTTATTGTATACTTGTTCATAAATGCATATAACGTGCATATTTAATGGGTTTTTAATAAATTACAATTTTTTTGTATTTTTTTAAGTTTTCTGTTCGTTTTTTGTGAGTAGGTAACTTCAAATAATCAATAATATTTATTTTTAGTTTTTTTTTTTTTTTATTTGTATTCTCGTTTTTAAATTTCCTAAAAGTTTTAGATTGATTTAAATGATTTGAAATATAAAGCTGTGAATATTATATTTTTTTTTTGTTTTTCATAAAATATTTAGAATTTTATTTGATAAAAACGTGTGGTTTTTAAAAAAAAGGATTGAATACCTAGTATCATTGATTATAGATTAGTCTATTCTATTATCAATGTTATTATTTAAGTCAAACAAACAATTCAATAATACTACAAAAATTATCCACTGCCAGTGGCTATCACTATCACTATCGTTATTTAGCATCAATGTGTATACTGTATACCTCGTGAGACAGTAGCTGTCATGCAATCACATGACAATTGTATCATGACAGTACTGTCACCATGTAAATGAGCCTTTAGAACAATATAATTTGTAATTTATAGTTTTATTAAAAAAAATTTCCAAATGTAACTTGCAAAATAAATACATAATAATTTATAACTAGTCCTTTATAATTATATATAAAAAATAAAAACATAAAAACCTTTAAATATACATTTTATTTGCATGGTTTATTTTTAAAATTGATATATTTATTATATTTAACTCTGTCATGTTACAAAATATTAATATAGTGGTAAATTTGTATAAAAATAAATACAGGCAGGTTGGTGTTCACTATTTTGAGTTCTCAATACTATAAAAATTATAATATTATTGTTAAGTGCATTGGGAGCTGGAGCAATACAAATAATTATTTATTTATTCTGTCAAACTATATAAAACTTGAATTTTGGTTGTCATATATCTAATATTTTATTATTAAACTATAAATTTCTAAAAAAAATTTGTTAAATCCATGAAATATGCATATTAATGTTCTTAAATCCAAAATATGTAAATTGGTATAAGAAAATAACAAAATATGCAAAATTATGCAACAAAAATTTTTATATCTGAAATATACATACTATGAATCGAATTTATATCAAATCAGAATTTCAATATGCACTTACTAGACAAATATGCAAATGCCTAAAGTTCCGAGCCATGATTATAAGTAAATGCTTATACAGTCGAGTCGCTATAACTCGAAAAACTTGACAACTCGAATTGTGTTTTTTCCTCTAGAAAATTTTCCCCCTATAAATTAGTTGGATATCTCGAATAATACATATCTCTAAATTAATTTTTATCCCCCTTCAACTTCGAGTTATCATGACTCGACTGTATATATATATTTTTTTATATAAATATAACTTTATCTCTAAATGAACAAATATTGTTTTTTTTTTACCTGGTAACTTTTTAGTTCTGAACGATGCATTGGTAATCATAGATTTTGATATTGGTGTACTACAAGTATTGCCACTTACAGGTGTACCCACTGATGATACATTAGGTGATTGCCCGCCTAAATACACAAATATACACAGAAGAAAAATAGATGAATAAATTAAAATAAATGTTTGTTATAACTGACCATCAAAATATCCTTGACAAGAATTTTTAATTGCATTTGCCAATAATATTACTTCACAATAACAATTATAACATGCTCGATGATAAATATCATTTAAGGCCTGTAATGCTTCCGCTTTTCCACAATTGAATCTTAAAAATAACACAATATGATCCAAGTTTAATATTAAAAATAATATACAATTCATTATCAAATTAAGGATATTAGGATATTTTAACTAAACATTAGCCCAAATATTTAACTCATAAATCTAAAACAATTGAAGAAAAACAGTATTAAAATCAAATTAATTGAAAAATATTCTAACATTAAGTAAAAAATATTAAAAAACTAAAAGGTATTTGACAAGATACAATATTTGGTTGTCACAAATTAGGTTGGGTTAGTTCTTATTTGTGTAAATCTTATTGACAAACTATTAAATTTGATAATTGATTCAATGCATCAAATATTGATGATATTTTAAATATAATTATATAATATAAATATTAAGGCTGGATTATTAAAAATGCTAGACTATCAAAAATCTAGATATTTAAACAAAAAAATTAAAATTAATTTATATTCACAACAATTTTATTCATATATACAGTAAAAAATACTATCACTCAAAATTAAAAAATGGATGTAAAATATTTTTTCAAAAAAAAGTGTAAGGATAAAAAATCCAAAAATAAAATTATAGCTGGAATAATTCAGTGACAACTTATTAAAATTCTATTATATAGGTATTAAATAAATCTAATACTGTTAAATAATAGCAAATACCAAAATATTCATAATGAAAATAAATAATGTTGCCTTATTTTATACTAAAAATGTAATAAAAAATTAATTGAGCAAATTTTTAAATAAAATTAGAACTATAAATTAATTTGAATAATAACACTCAAAATACTTAAATATTATTCATAACTTAGAAGTTAAAACATACTGCAACAATAACATTAAATTTACTTGAGGTCGTTGTCATGAACATGAGAAAATATAATAAAGCCTATGTTTTTTAATGTGTACTTAATACCTGTGTACATGATATTACTTCAGGATTAATTTATACATTAAAATTGAAATAGATGTATATATATAAATATAATATTATAATATTATATTAAGTATAAATATTTATGTACAGCTACTTAAAATATTGTTACAGAAGTGATGAAACACAAATTTAAAAAAAAAAAATAGAACACCAATAGACAGGTGTAGAAACATAAATGAAATTGCTTAAAATTTTCTAAGTTATGGGAACTATTTAGAGTAAAAAAAAATATGGCTTTATTTCAATGATTAGATAGTTATTTTCTTAACATTATTATATAAAATCATTTATAACATCAAATAAACTATGATGAATTATTATGATATATTATATCATATATATTTTTAAGTTAACATAATATAGTATAAATTTAGTGATATTCAATTCATAAAAATGAGCAATCTAAAATCAGACCAATACTGTAGAGAATTATAATTTTATTTAAATATATGAGTGTTCAAATACATGGGCATTTAGACATTTTTAAAATACAGGCCTTAATCCAATAGGTAAAAGCAAGATAATCTATGAATTTCATTATACATGTTATGGCAACCTCTAATAATTACTGTATATTTTAATAAATTTAACTTACATTGAAATGTATAAACAGTAGAGTAGATGAATCAAAAATTTAGGAGATAGTGGTATACGAGGCAATGTCGTTAATGTTGATATATCAGAATTACTGAATGATGAAGAACGTTTATTAAGAAAACCCTGAGTAACCATTCTATGAACAATAAAAATATGCTGAAATAAAGAAAAATTAAATTAAAAAAAATTAAAATACTTACTTTGATGTAACTTTATAGAAACGATCAAACGGATTATAAATTTCTGGCAAAAGATTTAAATTTTTGTAGTATATGAAATACAAATTACTAAGAACTTCCATTCTATTAGATGCAGAGAGTCTTTCAATCTGATTAAACGGACCTCGACGAACTGGATGTGTGTCTCTTTGCTCTAAACGACGAATGGCAGTTTCTGTTAAGGAAGTTGGAGCCAAACTGCTAGGCTTAAATAAATAAAAATAAGAAATAGTTATTTCTACAAATCGATATATATATATATATATATCAATGTATAATATACAACTGTATTATAGAATATAATATAATATATTATAAATTATATATATTGGATCACTATCTAATATGGCAATCAATAATATTAAGTAGCCCATAAGGCTTAAATATAACTTAGTTTATTTTTACAAATAAATTATGAACTAATAATGAATCAAGTAACATCCAACTAATTCTCATACATTATTTTTACCAAAATTAATCATTAATTAAATTAATTTAAATATTTACTTCATGGTAAATAGATGGCTGCGCTAAAGATGGCAATCGGAATGATATAAATCTTGGTGTATTATTTTCATCAACAGCCTCAAGGTTATATATTCCAATTAATAGTGCTTCAATACTTCGACAACTCTATTAAAAACATAATAAATCTTTACATTAGTATGTAGATAAATTCCAGCCTTTAAAAATGATTTAAGTTAATTTAAAAATTTAAATTAGAATAATTTACAACTAATTAAATGTTTAGAACAAAAATAAATGTATAAAATAATTATACAATATTTTTAAGAAATCTATCATCACCTAGAAAAAAAATTACTCAAAAAATATTGAAATTATAGTTTCATTTCAAATTACAAAGTAATTTTGTATATTTGACTGATATCCAGAAGAACCTTTTATGAATATTGACAGCTGAAATATTCTTTAGAATATTATGATTATTTATTTCATGTATTATTAAAGTATTAATGATGTAACCCAGTACCCTTCCATACAATTTTCAACACTACAAATAATAACTAATTCAATACAGATTTTAAAAATAAATAACTATAAAATATAATTAAAAATATACTTTTATAATGAATTATTTAAAATAATGAAAAATAAATCTTAAATTGTTATGAAAACTTATTCATTCATGTATAATTAAATATAATTATATAACTTGTATATTATATAAATATATATATATATATATATATATATATATATATATATATATATATA